AAATCACTACACCACAACTGCCCCTGTCGCAATGGGAGCCACAGAAATGGTGACCGTTGTGACACTCATGTTGCTCCATAATCCAACGCATGTCATGCGCGTCGAATGCCACCATGCATGATAGCTTCATGAGGCACCTCGCCGTCTGCAGGAATGACGCACCTTTCGTACACCTTTGTGCTCCGGCGATGTAACTGGAGGCACGACCGACGGTTCATCGAGTTTGTACGTGCCCACAAAGTCAAACGCACCTATCACCGAATTCTTAATGCGCACGGCGTGTCCACGGTGTTTCAATCATTCTTACACGCGCCATACCTCGGGTGTGGTGTACTTTCCGCTCGCAACGATCGCAATTTATCTTCTGACGCAATGCGAGCCATCGCTGTTGTCGTCTCTACCTTATCGACACGCAGCGCAATCTCTTGACGCTAGCAACGAGTGTTCCACCGCACCAACAATCATCCCATCGCGAGTATGCCCAACGATATTCTGGTCAAGAATATGCCCCGTGAGTATCCGTCATGAGAGGTAATGCTGATCGATGGCGCTATCAAGACGATTGAATCCTCGCCGCCAGGCCTATCACATACGTCTGTAACGCAGCAACCTTCTGGACGCGTCAGCGAGTGTTCATCTTCCACGGTAGCTGTTTTGCATGCGTTCATGTTGTCCTTTTCAATCCATATCCCACAGCGTAATCAAGTTCACGTAATTCACCAAATCCATATGCAGAATGTTGATGCAGTAGCTCCTTTCGTCTGTTACCACAGGCTGCAGCGCCCTGTGGGCAGTTCAAGCCACGCTAATCCTCGTCGGCGACTTGAACATCTGCAGCCGACGTTCACTCTTCTTGGCACACAAATAATCATACAATAGTCCACAGCATAACAAGTTGGACGGAGATTCCCAAGTTGGCTCGTCACAGCCGACCCAATTGACCTTAAACTCTCGCCTACTGCGCTTGGTGCTCGTCGACACCGGTGTACGGTCGTCGAGGATGGACTCCGCTTGTCGCATCATGCGAAATGGTCCATGCCATGGACTGTGCTGTCTGCTTGTCAAATCTGGTTTTCCGCGTTCCATGTAAGGCCACACTCTTCTCCCAATGTGAAACCGAGGCCTCGGTGGTGCCCCTACAGCATCAACTGGTCCCAGGGAAGCTCCTGGGCAGTCTAGCGATGGTTCATCAACGGCGTTGTCGGTTTTCCTAGTGCTCGCCTGACTTCGAGGTATTTCTGCAATATTACCACAATCGCCACAATCACCCGAAATGTCGTCTTGAGTGCATTTTCCGGCAGCTTCCAGCTGACAATCGTCGCTACCGGTCATACCACGTTCACAATGGTCCAAATTACGTGGTCCAACCTTTGTCGTGCCTTCATCTTCACGCGGCTCGTAGATCATCTCCTGGATGCGATTTAGGGTAGCCAATTCGGATTTACGAGCTTCAGCAAGCACGACCCTGCTAATCTTGGACTCGAAAGCCTCGGTGGCTAGTGAATCCGCGGCATTGTATTCCTTTGCTACATGAAGGTACTTGACCGACCGAAGCTTTGCCGTAAGCTGTTTGCGAGTGTTCAGCAATATCACCAGAGACCCCTTTTGCCGTGCCCCTAGTGACTGTGGAGTGGGAAGTGTTGAGTCGCCCACGATGACTAAATCCTCGGCACCGCATGCTAAAGCTGCCTTGACACCGTTATTTATCCCAGTGTATACAGCGAGGTTCCCCGTGGTGGACGGGAGACAAGTGTTCGCAGCGATCACTATCTTCCATTCAGGGAGGCTCCATAATATCCAAGAACAGCTACTATGACCACCATATTGATCGGTCTTGGCTGATCCGCTAAAAGACATAACGAATCCTCGGTAGTCGCGCGGTAGCTTCACATAGTCCCTACCGGTGTCATCCACGATTTCGTTTTCTTTGGTTGTCAACACGTGGGCTACTGATATGTATCCTTCGTCCAACGTGACTACCGCCTCCTCCGCTGGCGTGGCTTTGACTCCAGGCCCCAAACGAACGCTCGTAACCGTGTCCAGCTCCTTTAACGAAGCGTGTATCTCCTCTGGACCGGTGGTTGTGTCTTCGTTTTCACTAGTCGCAATGTAAGAGACTGATGAGTCGTGTTGCCATCCGATACAATCGTGGTTTCCCTCGTTATTGCACTTGATGCGTCATCTCCAACATCAGACACCAGCTGAACCCACGTTGCTGTGTTCATCACCTCCGTTATACCTTGTAGTTCCTGTGGGCAACTAGCCGACTTCTCGTTGGAATCGCTGCCGTCTCCATCACTTGCTGAGCTGCCATCCGACGAGTCTCCTGATAATCGGACCTCGAACGCGTCTTCGTCTGTCGCCCCTGAGTCTGGGTGACATTCGTCTCGCTATCGTTGTTCAATAATCTTCGCCCAACGATCGGCACATGTCAGACGATCTGTCGATACGTCCAACGCGTCTTCAGGCG